TATTTTATACCCCAGCATGGAATTTTGCATTTATATATAAACAACCTTGTATCAAAGTTCTGAAAGTTTAATATGTATTCTATAATAAATGCCTAAACATCTCCCTAGTTTAAACTTTAAAGTACACGTTAGTTAACAAAAACTAGTGACTGTATCTATTACTGTGAATACGTACTGTCTTTCACACTGATGATAAATAAAACAGGCCAAAATGCAAATTTGTTTTCATATAAAAACAGTTTTATAGTGATATAAAAACAGTTTTACAGAATTCACTTCGAAATATTCTTGCTATATAGCTATTTAAAATTATAACTACTGTAGAGATCCAGTATTTAATACTGAACACTTGATTACTAGGAAAAATAAATTATCCAACCTATTGTTCCGAGTTACAGTATTAAAAACGCTATAAAATAATTCATACCTATAACTTTTCCGAGCTTCACAACGAAGCGTGCTCGCATTACATATCGCCGTCTTTTTTATAGCACATTTTCCTCGCCATTATTGCTCAGAATTTCATGACATTTCGTGTACATGTAGCCAAAAGTTATCTGGTTGTTTTGCTGTAGATAAAAGTTATGGATGGATGTAAAAAGTTTTTAAAATCCACCATTTCATCTTCGAAAAAAAATCGCACTTGTATTTTAGCAGTCTTCCTGTTGTAGTTCAACCCCCCCTGAAACCAAATTTTTACTATAAATACGTCACAAACTGTTTATTTTTTCAACCAATTGAATCACATAATTTTTTTAAAAATATGACGAATGAAATAACCTCTGGCATCCCGCATAGTCACATCAAAATTTTCATCAGACCATGAAACGTTTGTGCAAATTTTTCATCTTTCTTGCAGTCTTGAAAACAAAATTTATATGCGGGCATGTAGAAAAAATATCAGAGTTCAATGTGGTATAATTTTTTATCATGTTTTATTTACGTATACGAAGTATTTTGCGTTTTGCCGAAGTGGTATATTCGTCAGTTGAGATATAGTTGCCAACCTTAGGTATAATCTATATATATCAACACTGCTTTTCAAATTGAGTGCTTGCGGCGCGCGACAAATGACAAAGGAATGGGGCGAGCTTAATGCAAATTGACATTTGGAAGCATTATTGGTGCATTCTACACGCCGTTTTGGGCTGCCTATGGTTTGAATATAAATTAGACCATATGGGCTTAGTAAAAAAATATTTTAATAACTACGTTTCGGAGTATAACTCCACCTTCAGGTTAAAAGTGAATAAAGATATAAAAACTGTGATAAAAACTTTCAAAACAATTACAAATTTTACATGTAAGTGATTTTTAATACTGTAAGAAAGTTCTTGAACAGTTGATGACGAAGACGATGACGAATACTTATGTCGTGATTTTTTTTGTCGGCTTCACTTTTCGCTCGCTGTTATCATTCCAGATATATATATATATATATAGAGTTCACTGGCCCATACCAGTGAACTCTATATATAGATATCTGGAATGATAACAGCGAGCGAAAAGTGAAGCCGACAAAAAAATCACGACATAAGTATTCGTCATTGTCTTCGTCAGCAACTGTTCAAGAACTTTCTTACAGTATTAAAAATCACTTACATATAAAATTTGTAATTGTTTTGAAAGTTTTTATCACAGTTTTATATCTTTATTCACTTTTAACCTGAAGATGGAGTTATACTCCGAAACGTAGTTATTAAAATAATTTTTTACTAAGCCCATATGGTCTAATTTATATTCAAACACACATACATATTCATTTACATTTTGCTGGCAGGCAAATTCCGATCACACAATAAATTCTTTAAAAAATAACGTACCAGTGTATTGACTAAAAACTATAAAACTGGTAAACTAAAAAACAATTCAAACAATCGCGAAAAATAGCAACGGCAAAGTCACGGTTGCAAGTCAATTTACCTACCTGTGAAATGAAATTTTCTCGCAAGAATATCTCTTTCCTTGTGCATCCAGAACGACAGTACGACACAATATATTTGAAAAAGTGATCCTTTTCTCCACACGGGGAAGTTTTCCTCGACTTTTTTCCGACAGCGAACTCAATGCAGTAAATTTTAGGAGCAAAACAGTTTGCTCCTAAAATGTATTGCCAATGCAATACTGGCCATTCAATATTGGCCATGTTTTTAATTTTTTTTCGTGATTGCGTTCAAATTTATACTGGCCGTGCAACGGTTTGCAAGAGGGGGAATGAAACTGACGTCCAATCTGCGTAAACCTGACGTTTGAGGGACTGAGACTGACGTCCAATCCGCGTGAAAGACTGGTATCGAGGCTTCATTGTTTTCACAATCAAATGACTGAATGTTATCATTCCAGATATATATATATATAGAGTTCACTGGCAAAAACATGGCGGATTTCGGCCTTTGCTGACGCCATCTCCATGACAACTGGTCCGTATTTCTCATGGTAGTTACCACTGACCAGGCTCGGATCTGAGCCCGCTACAATTTCCACACCCCCCTGGTTTTCTTTAAAAAACTTTAGATTTTTGCAATTTTGCTCGGGTTTTGTAGTATTTTCTCGATATTTGAATCGATTTTTAAAATGTTTTCGAGATATTTTTTCTAAACTTGGTTATTGGTTCAAAGATGTGCAAGTCGTACGAGTTATTCTTCCCGAGAAAGACAACAAAATTCAAACCTCGCTGTCCTCGCAAAATGTGAGCAAAGCCGAAGAGGATATTTGAATCAGCGAGCTATAAACAGGTATTTCATTCAATTTTATTTATGCTTTATCTTATCTCACATAAAATTGGTAGGCTTAACTTAAGCTTGACGATGAAATGCAATCTTTTTGTTAAGAAAACAGCCTTTTGCTGGTGTTTTTGGTGTAATTTGGCAATCGGTTATCTGTATATTTCAAAATTTGGTTGCAGAAACTAAAACTTTTTGTTATCTATACTGTACTTTAGAAAATGGTATTACAGTAACTCCAGACGTTCCTTCAAAGCAAACGGTATGTCAGGTATGTGTTTAAATATATTCAGGTTTTGTGTAATATGTGCCAACTTTGCATACAAGGCTAATCAATGTCAAGATTTTTGGATCCCCCCCCCAAGAAAATGTTGCTGCTGTATGATGAAAAGGTAGTACATTGGCCATTTATAACACATTGTTGGGGGGCAGAGGGTTGTAGGGGTGATGAAAGCTCAGGTGGTACATAACGTCTATCATAACCTTTATAATTAACCAATTGAGCTGCAATGCGCCCCACTGGGGAAGCTCTGCAGCCAGGGCCATACACAGCGGGGAGGCAACTGCCCCCCAGAGAAAACTATATTCACGATTTTTAGAATTCATTAATTATTCTTTGGATATTTGGGACTTTTTCGGCATATAGGCCTTACTCCCCCCCCCCGGTGAAAAAATCCTGTGTACAGCCCTGTCTGCAGCTTAATGGGTTTAACAATTTGGAACACCAACTACTGTATGTTGCTTCCCTAGCACTGGGAAGGTACCTTGTATCCTGGCCACTTTTGATTATTATACCATTAAAAGCCTGATAATTGCACCAATGGTTCTGGTGTCTCTGGTTTGGTGTTGAGTCACATTGTTTTGTTTTTCCCATCATCATTTTTGTGCTCAAAGTTACAACATATAATATATTTTTGTTTATTCCAGAATTATCTCACAATTGTCATATCATAATTTGGCATTTGTCCTGACTCACTCTGGTTTCCCAATTAACCCATAGAGTGGCTCTGACATTAACAAGTAAAAGTAGGGCAGTACCAAGCAAGATGTATGGAAATTGAAGACACAAAAGCTGGATTAATTTTGAACTATTTTATTTGAACTTCTTCAATACAGTAGAATTATTAACAGTGAATAATTTTAAATTAACACTAAAATTATTATAATTAAGTGTACATGATGTAGTGGAGCATGTGTTAACTTAATAGTCTTAATTAATTAACATTAACTTACGGTAATAAAGGTTTATACTTTTATGTTATCATCACCATAATCTATAGACATTTTCAAATTTTGCTTGGGGTGGGGGTGTGCAGAAAAATTCAGGGGTGGAAAGTGAGCACATGGTGTGCTGAGTAAGATGCAGCAGGGTCTACCGGGGTCTACCATGGGTGTGCCCCCCCCCAGTTTGTTGGACAAACAAAGCCAGTTGGGCAGTATTGGCTTATTATTCTGTCAATTTTGTGGGAAATATGCTATCTAATAGGAATTTTTCGTAGCATCCTCCCCCCCCTGTTGACAACAATTTCGGAAAGTTTCTCTGCAATTTTTTTTTTGACAACTCGGGCACAATCCAAAAAAGTCAGGCAAATTTCTTTCCGTCCACCTAATTTTTTCCTTCCTGTATGCCCATGCTGAGGGTACAGTCACTAGTGGGGACAGAGTTGGGGTAAGGTTGGGGGCACCGACCCCCAGGATATTTCGAGATTTTTGGCCTTGTTTTAAGTCTTATTTAGTTCAATTATACTGCTGTCATTTAATCAAACCAGCATTTAAATTTCTGGGGTGGGTGCAAATATCTCTAGGTGGGGTGGGAAAACGTTCTGAGGTGGTGAAAATATTTTTGGGGTGCACACCACCTGCATCCCCCCAAAAAATCCATCTATGATTGCCATCAGATAATTAAGTTACTGTGGTATTAATTATTATGACTTCGCTTTTGGCTATTCTGTATTTTAATGCCTTGTCCCATCAACTCCCATGTTCTGTGATGCCTGCAATATAACCAATAATTCCTGCAAGACAAAAGACAACAATCATATTACACTAATATTATTACACATTTTCCCACCTCAAAAACAGCATTTATTATCAAAATTGTCGATACTTCTTCTCATCCATAAAACTGCATGTGTACTAATTAAAGTATTTTTACATAGTACTGAAATGGTGAATCATTATCCACTAGTTAATCATAGTTTCTCTGTAACTAATTCCAAGAAAGTCAAGAAAAAAATATATGACAGGCAAAGATAACAATTTGTTCAAGAGAGAGGAAGGATCCACAGTTAGGTTAATTAATAAAAACATTCTTGCTGTAGTTCTTTGTGTATTCCACTTGGTTGTGGAAATACATGTCCAGTACATGATTTTTTTTGTAAATGATTCTTACGGATTGTTTTTAGGGACAATTAAGTCATTATTAATGCCGGGTAGGGGGCTGGAGGAAATTTTTATGAATAGCAAAAATTTCTCATGACCCCTTATTTTTCTAACAAAATCAAAATTTATCCCCCCCCCATTGAGGCACCATATTTCATAGCCCCCTCCCCCCAATTCTGAATTCAATGAATCTAAGTCAGTTTCGTAAGCATTTTTCCTGCCCTCATACTCAGTTTACTTGCAGCTGTAAAGAATATTGTAAATATTGAAAATGATAGCCAAGGTGGACAGGAGTGACTTTAGTTTCACAATAGACAATTCAGACTTTATACCTGAAAAGTTGTTGGCCCTCAAACAAAAAAACCACACATCAGGCCTAGTCTTTTACTAATTGATAAAAAAAACATTTGTGTCTGGTGGAAGCATTATATTGAAGAGATGGCAGAAGAGACTGTCAACAACATGCAGAAACAGAACATGCCAAAGAGGTCCGCTGTGTTAAAAAGCGTAAAACAGGACAACAACTGTCAATTGAATCTTGCATAATTGCAAATACAGTGCATGACCCTTCAGACAAATTCTACGGTGATGATGAGGATGACAATTTCCATATACAGTAGTTAGGACACAACTTTAGGTTCAATATATTGGGCATTACTGTTCAATGTATGTATGTATACTGTATATATCCATTACTCTTTTGATATTACATGTTACAAACTATTCCATAGATTTTATTTTTTGCCCCCCCCCCTTTATGTTCAAAATATTTTCTGCCCCCCCCCCACTTCAATGGTTAAAACTTTTTGTGGCCCCTCTAAATTTCCTCCAGCCCCCTACCCGGCATTAATAATGACTGGTCCCTTACTGAGCTAGTGAATTTGATTGCATTTCAGGGCTCTGAGAGGCCTCAGATTTAAAATCTTCTGGGTAAGCGTGCCCCCAGACCCGCTAACAGGCTCATGCCTTTGGCAGCTCCGTCACTGACCCACCCACCAATTTCTTGATGACACAATTGATTGTTTCCCCACTTCTGTTTCAGTCTGGCTATGCCACTGCTCACAACATCAAATTTAACAGTTTCAGGACTATTAAAATCAGGAGTTTTGTTTATATGACAAAATCGGACAAGTCAATTTATTGTATGCGGACCATTAACAGTTGACTTGTTAACAGTTGACTTGTTAACAGTTGACTTGTTAACAGTACACGACTATATGTTGATGTCATATAACAAGTGAATCCAGTGTAGTGGCCCTGGCTATTTTGCCCTCGTTGCTCCCCTCTCTGGCCTTGTGCTTAATCCTGGTCTATATTAAGTGTATTAAATTAACTAAGAAATTATTTTCACCGGAAAAATCTGTGTAAGACAGATCGCCAGGGCTAAAACAAAACAGTAAGTCTTATGACCACAAATTTTACAAGGTTTTTTTATGACTTTTAATAATGTCCAATATTGAAATTAAAAAAATTTCGTACTATCCATCCCATGAATCTTACCTGTGAAACGAATTACTCGTCCTTTTATGTAAAGTAAAGTAAATTGTTGCATCAGCAAGTGGAGCAAAACGGCACTTTAATTCCTTCCAAGTTGAAAAAAACCCCCAGCAAAATACGAGAAAAATATATTATGTTTTTAACTAAAAACCATAGCTAAAAACACTGCCAAAACCAGGGGGGTGAAAACGTCGTCTGAAGCTCAGGATCGCGGTTGGTCAGTGGCAATTCTGTGAGAATTACGGACCAGTTGTCATGGAAATGGCGTTAGCAAACGTCAAAATCCGCCATTTTTTTGGCTTCACTTTGATCACTGAACGAAGTATAGGAGCAGGTCCTCCAGTTATTATACAGCTCAGTGTTCCAGTCAGTGGTTCCAGTGTTATTAGAGTTCACTGGGTGCGCCACAGGCTACCCAAATTATACTACTCATGTTATTAAGAAAAACAAATGTTACGTATATATAAATTTTGCCTATGACAATAATAAGTATATAAGTATATAAAAAGTTCCCAAATATATGTCCCAAATATATTCTTGAGAGGCGACTTCACGTCTATTTTAATAATAATTGTAATAAGTAACGTCGAGTGAAAGTAGATACAGTGGTAGAGGAGGACGAATTTCCTAGGAATCTCGCCGCCCTCCCTCAGGGCAAGAGAATTCGCCCACTCCCACTCCCCAGCCTATATAAAACAAGCCAAGACGATTGTAAAGTAGTTTTTTGATATATAAAATACTCGTAACTACAGGTTGACGATTTTAAACGTTTTAGTGGCTACATAATCTTACTACTTTGATTACGAGTGAAATTTAACAAACTGAACGAATAGCAAATTAAACACATTTCAACAAATCGTTTGCAGAGCGTCATTCGTCTTTGAATCAGTCACCATTACACACTTCTGGAAAGTATGTCACCTTGGCTATAAAGCCTCATTTTCGTGTTTAAGATGTTAGGCTTTGACAAATGGCTTTAACTGATGTCACGAACACGAGGTTCTATATATGGTAGCGAAAGTGACGTACTCTCCGGAAGGGTGAATTGATAATGAAGTCGCTTTATATTTCTTAAAAGCAGAAATAATTTCCAGATGTGAAATACTTGATATTCATCATTTTATTGGTTATTGCAATTTGCAATGTTGTATGAACTGTCTGTGACAGTTGTCTCAAGGCCATAGGCGTACGCGTGTGTGTTGGGGGGGAGGGGGAGAGGCTGCAGCCTCCCAAAAACTCGGGCAATTTGCTACAATCAGGAGCAAAAATTATTGAGACAACCGCATACGTGCCCCCCTCACCCCCAATTCAATGTTGTGTGGATGACTGAAAAGAGAAAATTCAACCCACTTTTTCCAACATTGATCATGGGGGCAGGCCAACGTACTTTTAAATGGCCAAAAATGTGAAAAGTCTCATTATTTTTGCACGCGATTGTAGGCCTGCCCGCCTCGCCGGCCTTTTTGATGATATTAATGTTGATTAGCAAGAGAGATGATTAGCACAGCATTATCATAGGGTTTTTTTTACAATCTTTGTCAGATGACAGGTAAAACCCACAGAACTGAACACTCCTTTACGAGTACCTTTATATGATTAGTGATGATTGTATTTTCACTGCTACTTGTTTGCATTTGTTGAATACAAATTAAACTGCCTATAGTGGTTCTAATGGTCACGAGTGTATTTTTGCTCAGCAGATAGCTCTCGTGTGCGCCAGGCTTAAAGGGTCATCTTTTTTATACAGCTGCATGTAGATACCTACAGTAGGTCCTTATTTAATTTAACGAAGAAGCTGCAACTGAAAATGTTCAGCACAAGCGCGACTTTCTCATGTTTAGTTGTTTTATCACTCACGGTATCCATATATAGTGTTTTTGCCCAAATTACAAGTAACAGGCAACTGGCTTAATTGAAGCAGTATAAATATAAGTGTTACAGAACAATAATATATACACGTATTATTATATTACTATTTACAACATGAGCGGCCGTGTTGTATCGGATATTTGTATATCTGATACAACACGGACGCGAATATAGCTTGTGTGACGTCGACGTCTTCATGAGAACATTCGTATTCTTCAACAATGTAAAATAAACGAATGATATTTGGTGAGAAAATTGAATCATGCTGATTTACATCAGTAAACTTTAAGTTTTGTATCAGAAATTCAAACTCCGTCACGCTCACAATTTTGTGTTTTCTTCATGAACAATTAATAAATGAGTGTCACAAAATTATATACAATACTCTTTTGAAGGAACTATATACACAACATGTCAATCAACGAGGTTCTGTTTTCACAGATCAAGTAGCCCTAAGATTGAGGTAAGGCCTACAGTAGTAGTTTATATATTTATCACACAGTGACACGTATACATGTAATTTGCTACGATTCTGAATTAACAGCTGCAGGAAGTTCACCAATAAGTTCTTGAGTGGGATCTATAGCAATGTACATTGCACTCGGATCTGATGCATCTTGGTCTTCTGCAATAATCTACAAAGAAAGTACGATTATCAACTCCCTCTTGAAGATAATGGGCTATAACGCTTTGCCTAAAAACCTACGTATTCTGCCATGCCCATGGTGAGCCACTGAATGAGTGCAGAATTACGCTACGATAAAATATCCTACGATAAACTATCGTGGTTGAAATCTGAAACACCTAAAAAGGTTTGTTTCAAAATACTCGATGTTTCGAGCGAATTCTTTTGTCAGGAGTTGGACAGCGGGAGACGGGTTTCTCTGCTTCACACTATCGACCTCCTGACGAAGAACTTTGACAAGATTCAACTCCTGAAACATCGAAGAGGGAATGAACCATTCGATAAGGGAACACGGGATGTGAAATAGTGTCTTGTGAAAAACAGTTTGTGAACTATTTGTAATCCACAGTTAGACATTTAGAACACTTGTGCCCTGCATGTATATTTGACACTATTTCACACTGTAATGTTCAAACCAAAACTGGTGATGGACTTGTGTTTTCTTGTTTGATCGTGACTTCATCCAAATCCCAATCATAACTCTAACCCTTGTTGCGTCAATTTGGGATAGTAATAAGAAAGTCACCGAAAATTTGTAAACATTCGATGAAAAATCGATATGCTGTACCTCAGTTAACTTCCCATGCAACTGATTGTCTCTTTTCCACCAAGTTCTGAGTTCTGCGCATGCTCGTCTGAGTTCACGGTAACAATTGCGTCATGTTGGTGCGATTCACTGGTAACAGTGTGTGTGTCTAATGACTGGGTAAGAAATATAGTTCCTGCACTGTTACTTACATTGGGTGAAACTGCTGACTCAGCATTATTACTAACACCTGCTGCGAGCTCCAATAATTGTTGACCATCTTCAGGGTTGGTTGTCAGGATCAACGTATGTGATGTTGTTTCACTTGATTCAATCAAAACAGGCTGTGTTTCGCCATTGGTGTATATAACTTTAGTCACATTCAGTTGCATCCCTCCCTGCATAGATAAATCATGCGCAATGTTTTCGATCAGTGATCCATCCGTGATCTTAATCTCTTCACCTAACTTACTAACATTACTGATAGCTACTACTGCTGTATCACTGCTAGTCATCATTTCTTCATTAGATTTCTCTTCCAATTTCTTGCCCCTTTGTTTCCCACAATTACTTTGTTTATGATTTTTCACGTAAATCAAACGAGTGAATTTCTTTCCACATTGATCACAGGAATAAGGCCGTTCCCCACTGTGGATATTTTGATGTCGTTTATACGTTGTAAGATAGTTAAATTCTTTCTGACATTCTTCACATTTATAAGGTCTGACTCCAGTGTGTAGACGAACATGATTCTTGTAGCTATCAAGTCGTGTGAATTCTCGGTCGCAATTATCACATTTAAAAGGTTTGTATCCAGTGTGCAAACGAAGATGTCGTTTATGGCTTCCAAAGTCTGAGAAAGACTTATTGCAGAATTCACACTAAAAGAATGGAAGTTATAATAAATATAAATTAAGTTCTATTAAAAGTGACTACAAAACACATTGGAGCTGAGCGATAGATTTACAAAGGGGATGCGGGGATCAGATGATATTTTCATGTGAAATAAGTAAATTCACTATGAACTATTTAAAGCACGCGTAGGTGTTGTGGTATAAGTATTATATTATTATATGAAGTATCAAAGGAAAAAAAACAACAAAAAGAAACGGGAAACTTTATAATTTTTGCTTTATAACTCGACGCTTTTATTTTTCATCGGTGAATAAAAGTAGTAATGTCCACCGCTCAGAGCTGTTGCCAGAGACGGTCGAATTTCGTGACTTCCACGTGATACGCTCTCATCCAATGAGATGCAAGAAAACATGAACTTTGACACTTAGTATATAATATGTTTCGGTGGGATGTACTGGCAATACAAATAACCGAAAAAGCGACAGTTTCGTTAATTACCAAATACCAAAACCAGCAAACTAATAAATAATCAAAAATATTTCTTACAGTATAAGGTTTTTCTCCTGTATGAGTTCTGTCATGCCGTTTGAGATCACCAAGGTTTGCAAAGCCATGTCCACATACTGTACATTGATATGGACGTTCGCCACTATGCACTCGATGATGGGTCTTCAGATTGTAAGATTTATTGAAAACTTTACCACAATATTCACACGGATATACCTTCACAGAAGATACTACAGCAAGAAGAAAGAAATTGTTACTGGAATTCAAATGTAGTGTTCCATTGTAGGTGGTATTCTATGGCTACTAACTTCCCGACGAAGGGCCTTTGCTCGAAATGTTGAAGTTCTGCTTTTATTTTTCAGGTAGCTGCATCTCTCAATCCACTGCAGCTGAACAGGTGGGAAATTTGTCTGCGCATGCGCTACATTTTGCACGGTTTAAGAGAAAGAGACTTGGGGCGAGTAAATACAGTAATTTGATTTTTGAGCGTTTTATTTGCGTTTTTGCCTCATTTTTTTTTGCTAACCAAAAAAATTGTTAATCCATTGTATTAATTGTTGGGAAGGCGAGGAAGGTATGAGAACGTTCACAGACTAAAAATATTTATAAAATTGCAACTTTTGCGTAACCTTATATATCGGAACTGCCTCGAATTCCGATGAAAATGTCTAATAATTCCTACTATTCCGTATTTTTAGATGAATGAATTATCTCCCAAAATAAAGTATATGTGTTAAGGAGTAGTTTAAATTAAACCATATTTGGTTTTGAGGCTCTCAGCTAGATTTTAAAATATTTTAATTTTTTTTATTTTATTGTGCTAACCTTTACCCCCATAAATCACGCTGTACTAAATTGGAAAGAGATGGAAACGTATTCGCATTATTTCAAAACTGCTCATACTTTCTGAATCAGTAGACTCTAATCTTTCAATGGATATACTTTTACGAACAGGATTAGTAAACACATGCAATTTCTAGCGGAATATTCAGAGGCACCTTTTCAGACTACTATACAGACTACATTAGACAGTTGTGCCGTTTTTGATATCAACCCGTATTTTCATATGAACAATACTTTGATTAGTGAATTAAGAAATCTTTGAAGAATCATTTAGAGATAGTCTCGTTTTGAGGCTCTCGACTAGATTTTTTACAATCTTAAGTTGAAAATTTAGCTTTTTCCTATTTTTAGCAAAATCACGATTTGCACTAAGTGTTTTCAAGGATTTAATCATAAATAAACTTTCCAAAGATATTGCTGAGTAGAAAAATGCGTTAAAAACAAATTTTAAACCAACCCTGAGTTTATTTTTTTAATTCCATCTGTCCAGGGAGTGAAAACAACTTGCATCTTCGAAAAAAGTTAAATTTCGTCTATATTTCGTCGTATAAATAAATAGTTTACATTTGTCCGATTTCAGTTTAAAGTCTTTTATCCTGCAGGACATTTTTCAATAGCCTTTGAATAAACGAACTTAAATTCTTGCACAACCACTGTTTTCTTCCCAAACGAGAAGCCCAAAAACCTGCTTTTGCTCATTTTAATAATTTAAAACAAAATTTTCGCTGGCGCCCGCAATTTACTGACCAGCGACAACAAATTTCCCACCTGTTCTGCAGCTGTCAGTATTCTACAAAATACCGCAGGTGCAGGTTTGTGTCTGAATGATTAAAACGTTATGTTTCAAGCGAAGACCCTTTGTCAGGAGATCAGTTAAGGGTCGTCGGTCGAAAAAAGCGTTCAATGGAAACGCCATGTTTGAAATCTTTTCATATAGTTCAGATATAAACCCGCCATGGAAGATAGCGCAACTGATTATCTAGAGACGTAGACACTCGGTATCATATAAAGCACATATTCTCAGCCCATATTTGTATGAAAGAAAGTACACATTAAAGACAAGTGCGGTAGGGACATAGGCAGCAAGTTGGAATAACTGAATATACCAACATTGAACAAAGCCGAATTAGTTATTTCTTAGCTGGATTTGGATGTTGTGATAAAATCCCAAATTAACATGATATTTTCTTTCCCTCTAATCCCTCATACCTGCAGGTGTTGGCTGGATCTTTGGTTCATTATCATTGTCATTGTCATTATCACAAAGATCGGCAGCTGGAGTGGTGGCTGCCAGTGTTTCATCCACACCAAGTGAAGCAGTCTCTACAAAGAGCAATCATGCATGATACCAGTTAATCTAACAGTGCAGCAATAATTTGGCTGAATTAAACTTGGATCAAACGAGACGTAAATAATCACAAATTTTAACTTGGAACATGGCTTTGTAATTTTAACAACATACTGATACACTCTTGGTACGCTTTTGATTTACACGACAATAGGCATGATAGCCTGGCATTACTATCGAGAGCAGCGAGGCAGCACACTATTTTTTACAGTGCTTGCGTTTATCCAGAGTTTATCCGTGCGCAGCCATTTGCCAGATCTATAAATTGTTGCGAATCTTAGCTTAGTTTCTGTCCGTTGTAGTATTTGTACGATGCGATAAGTTAATAATTAACTTCTAAGCATGTAACAAACGTTGATTGACATTTGTAATAAATCATCATTCAGTCTATTCTACAATGGCGACGAGGATGTAAAAATAAACAGCGTGAAAAATATAACGGAAAACTAGAACCACGGAGTGATCCTACAAGTACAAGTGCGAGATGGACACGATGGGTGGAGAGATTCAACACGTATTTACTTGCAGCAGATATTAAAGACGATGCGAGAAAGCGAGCTTTATTATTGTATCAGGCGAGGCCCGAAGTACACGGAATTTTCAAGACTCTACAAGAGGGCGAAAAAGAATTTGGAGCGGAAGAAAGAAGAAAACAAAGAGTACTACGACAGAAACAAAAGAACAAGGGAAGCTGGGATCAAAAACGGTGACATCGTCATTTGCAAACAGAAGAAGAACAGTAAGTTAACAAGTTAACATCAAAGTTCGACCCAGAACATTATACGGTAGTACAACGTAAGTACAACACCATAATAGCTAAAAGAGATGGCAAGACGGTGACAAGAAATGTTTCACACTTTAAGAAGGTATTAATGGAGGAAAGCGAGGAGAAGCAGGAAGATACAGCGCCGAGAAGATCGCCGGAAACAGAGGAACCACCTTAAGCAAGAACCAAGTGTAAGGAGATCAACAAGAAAATGAAAAGACCGGTAATACGATATCAGTACCAGACTTGATCTTATGAACAGTAAAACGATATAAACGTTTAAATTATAGAAACATCAGACAACATTGATTTACATAAGTATGAACACAAAGCAAGGACATTTTATTAAGTGATTGACATTCGGTTAAAAAAATAGAGGGAGAGTAATGTAGTATTTGTCGGATGCGATAAGTTAATAATTAACTTCTAACCATGCAACAAACGTTGATTGACATTTGTAATAAATCATCATTCAGTCTATTCTACATCCGTTCAGATGTTTTGCCCTAATTCCAATTAGCAAACGTAATAAACGGAAAATTAGAAGGAAAATGTACGAAGCATGCGTGTTTTTGTTTCCATTCGGCCGCGTTATCTGACTATCCGAACTCCCTTCACTAAATTGTATTCTTTCCAAAGCAAATGCGCCTTCATGTTGTTATCAGCGCTTTAAACAACTATCTATTCAGAGCGTCGAGTTTGAGGCAGCACTTTCTAATTATAAAAGATCGAGGCAGGGTTTATGTTTGAGAAGAGTTTCTACGACCTGATTTGAAGTAGCAGTGGTCGCATCTTAAAATGTAGCCGTTGTATAAAACACGTGATAATCTGCATTTTGCCTCCGTGGGATTTTAACTGTTCATTTCGTTTTCACAATTATTATGAATTTCATTGTAAAAATAATAGCCGTCCTCGTTGTGCTTTTATCCTGCTTGATTAAGGTTCTAATAACTAATTAAGTTCCTAATAACGGTAGTTCTTCTAACTTTTTTATAATTAAAAGTGTAAAACTTAAGGCTGTTCCTTGCAACGTTCCCGTCTCAGGATATGTCTTGCTTAATGTCCCTAACAACTCCTAGTACGGAAATATTTTTAACGAAGTCTACGACTTTACTTAGTAAATACGCTTTTAAGAATTATTTCTGTCAGATACTTTACGTTAAAAAAGACTGCGCCAATTCGCGTACTGGACTATCATACCAATTAAAAAATTTGTTCGGTTAGCATAATGTACAAAACATTTCGAACGCGTTTGGAATAATTGCGGAACTACACGAAAAATTTGAGAACGATGACAATAGACATATTGTATTAATTACGTTTGTGAATGCAAATCATCGTACTCATTGAAAAATGAAAACCATCAGCAGTCCTAATGAATTCAGAAATCAGAATACAGCTATTCCAATTAAGGTTGCCCCCGAGCAAAGCGCAAAAGTCGAATACGAGCGCGAAATGCTTGCTGGGAATCGCTAATAAATTAATTAATTTATTCGACTTTTCCGCTTTACTCTGGGACAATTCTTTAGTTGAAATAGCTGTATACAAGTATTGCATGCATGTTTGTATATTGTAAATGTTATGCGCAGTGAAAACATTATATATACTGTTAGAAAGTTTGTAATACAATCTAACGTTGGTTCAAGGGAATCAATTTCCAAATGAATGGCCCTGGTTGACTTTTTGGTTCTTGATCGAAAACTAAAAGAGTGTCTCGCCCGGTATAGTACTACTCAGAAATAACCTAACAAAAACGCACCAAGAACGCGCAATTTGTGTCCCACTAGCGTTCCCCTTTGTTCCGAAAAAATAGAACCTCACCTTGATTGGAAGTAGTTTCAACATCACACTGATGTGCAATCACAGAATTGTCTATAGGTTGTGCAGTGACATTTTCAGATGGTTGTGCAGTTTGTGACATCTGGGATAAAACACTCGCAGCATTCGTCTCATCCTCACTACATGACATTTTGTACTAGTTGACAATATCTGAAAGGCAGAAACATCAGTACAAACAAACGTTACTCCTATGTGTTCTATGATAGGGACATGGTGGCATGGTAGCTTGGCCATAGGGGCGGGGTGTGTGCAGGGGAGGTGCAACACCAACTCCCCCAATATTGGTCATGAGTAATTTCAGGTAAATTTAGAGGTGAACTGAGCTGATTTTGAGGTAAAATATAAGAGTATTGATAGGCAAACGTGGACATTAACTAAGCTAAGAACGCAAAGAAGCTAAGAATGCAAAATTTTAATTGCACTTCTGAGCTTTCTGAGGGTCTAAAATTAATATTCAAAATGTCCTTTGGGGAGCATTTCCCTGCACCCCCCAGGTTGATTTAGGCCTGCATCCATTTTTCTAATATAATATGTCTAATATGTATGTCTATTATACTAATATATTACTATTTATTATTTATTGAAAATAATTCAAGAGTTTTGATTGGCTTTGGAGTTGTGACATCACCGTGGAAACGGTGGAATATTGAAAACAAATATACCACGTTTGACGTAATTTCATGGTATATTGAAAAACAATATAATACACCTGTTACCGGTATAACTTTGTTTTTCATAGAAACTGTATTTGCCATTGCCATTGGTAGAATTACACAACATTTTAGATGCCGCTGCTGATACACCCACTAACCACAGATAGGGAGTCTGCTCGCATTGGCGCATATAGACCCACTGCACTGACCTCACAAATCCTTAGAGTGTCCTCCAGATGCTCCCTAACAATATCTGTTCGGGTAGAACAACCACATACAGCGCAAAAATTAACCATTTTAATACAAAATTATTAACGTCATGTGCAATGGGTCTATTAGAGATTTGCCATGTGGTGATACTCTACATTTCTTGTAATGTGTTTTGTTCACTGTTGAAACCAAATATTATATAATTAGCAGAAGAACAAGTTGTGCTTAAAAGTTATTTAAGCATGCTATATAGCCATCACCATACGACTAAACGTATTAAATGCACTAACTACAACTAACTATGGTGACAAAAAAAAAATTGGAATGTATCATAATTTATTATAACTTTTATATTTTCTTTCCTTTTTCGACTATTATATAGCATATTTTCCACAATATTGAGAGAATTTCTCCTATTTATTTTTATCGTTTAATTTAACCAGAAAGGAATTTTCAATTCATTCAGTAGTCTGAAAACTTAAAATTCTGTTTTCTTTCCAACCTCATAATCAGGGTCTTTCCTCTTAGCAAGGGGAGAAAAGACCCTGCTAGACGCTGGTCATGTGATCTGCTAAAATTTAGCAGATTTTTAATTAGCAATCCAAGATGAGGTCAATAAATATTTGATATTTGGATAATTTTTATAGTTTAATTACTAATTTGCATTTTGTATGATTGTCGATCGTGAAGGAATCCAAGATAGTTAATTAGAAATCTGCTAGAGTTTAGCAGCTAGATCACGTGACCAGCGTCTACCAGGGTCTTTTCTCCACAAGAGGAAAGACCCTGGGTACAAGGTTGTTTTCTATCAAACGTTGCTTTTTTCAAATTTTGTGACTCGAAGTTACAGTATATAGTTATAAGTTACCTTCCCAAAAAAGTAACTAGTTTTAACTAAAAATAGTTAATACCATTACAGTTACTAAAAAATGCAACAATTACATGTAACTAGTAAGTTACAGTACTTGTAACTACTGATTTACACATGAGAATGCAGTGGGCCAAATGTGTATCATCAAGCCATGACTCAATATGTGCATCATCAAGTCATAAATGCCACAATAATTTAAAAGACCCATATAGTTGTATTGGCTTAGTATGATTAGCATAACATCATGCCAAGTGACATATATACCAATAATGCTGTCACTATAAATGGTCAAATATATCTGACATATGTGTTCAATTAATGTACTGTAGTTAGTAGACTGTACAATAAGCTGGTATGTTTTGATGTTTGTGATGTTACTCTGAGTGTATATCCACACCGGGCAAGCTTGAAAAATATACCTGGCCATGGTGGGAATCTAACCTACAACCTTTGGATCGAATACTAGCCCAAGACTGGGATATTGTGTCTTATGAACAAGCTTTCATTGGTAGGGATGCAAAATTAACCAACTGAAAATCACTTCAGGTCACTTAATTAAAATGATTGGAAGCATCTGGCATTTCGAACAAAGGCTAGCTTTATAATCTCCTGATGAAGGTTAACCCTTTAAGTGGCAATGCGCCCAGATGCACCCTACTTTATTAATTTTTTTTTACTCTGTCTAACGCCAGACAATTTTACTTGTCAGGGGGAGAGTCCTGCCACTCAATGGGTTAATGATAGACTATCTTCCTATTCACCCTCTTTGGCAATGCGCCTAACTTTATTATTTTACTCTGTCTAACGCCAGACAATTTTACTCGTCAGGGGAGAGTGCTGCCACTCAATGGGTTAAGGGCAATTCGTGTTTTCTTTTTAGACAGTTCAGACACAAACCACTTCACTAATTTCACTTCCCAAAGAAGGGCCTTTGCCCAAAACATAGAAGTTCCTTTGTATACCGTAAACTTCCGAATATAAGCCCTGGGCTTATATAATTTCATAAGCCTTTTTTGATGGGCTTATACATGGGGGGGGGGGCTTATATACGGGGGACTTATACACGGACCACATCTTAGGTTAATAGTAAGAAAACACGTACTATATTTACGGACCGAAACTGCACAAAAAATATGTCCGTGACTCCTTGAGGCAAAATCGGGACGAACTGTCAAGTGTTTTGTAATCCTTTATAACCTTTGTTTAAATAAATACATACCGTAGACGTAGTCTTAGTTGAAATTTAATGCAATGTAGTGGATTTTTTTGTGTAATTTACCGGTATTATAGTGTGATGGGCTTATATACGGGTGGGCTTATATACGGGGGGCTTATATTCGGGGGGCTTATATACGGAATGGTGTGAACGTTAGTAATTTGATGGGCTTATAGACGGGGGGGCTTATATTCGGAAGTTTACGGTATTCTTAATTTGTGATGCAATCAAGATTATTTTGACATCTTCATTTTGTAAAGATCTTGGCTATCATCACACACAACACTTTGCCCTTAACGAGTGATGTTGCCTGGGCTGAGACAACTAATAGCCAAGTGGGGTACATTGGTGCACTTTGCAGCTTAAAGGGGAAACAAAGGACATGGGCAGATAATTTGATTAATTATCCATTAATGTCCAATATGTTCCCCTAACAAGTGAAATTTACAAAGTAGCGTATACAGTATCATTAGTGTGTGTTGCAACTTTAGTGGTATCTACAAGTTTCTATGAGTGAGGTGGGGGGTTGATTGAAGAGAGATGTTTGGAAATATTTCAGTAAATACGGTACAGTTAATTTATCAAATTTAAATAATCATACTGAGTATGGAACAGTGAGAAATAGTATAAAGCATTGAGAAATGGCAGGACTGCTGTTTTCAAGTTAATAAAGCATTACCATGTCTGTTGCAATATACATACGGTAATACCTTTATGTTTTATGTGTTGTCTAAAATTACATTAACAAGACAACGTTTCCAGTGAGCATTGAGATATTTCTGTTTCTCTCTACAGGTTGTGACAGAAACTCGAGATTGGCAAGGATTTGGACACAGTAAGTAGTGAAACAGCATGCCAAAGTTAAAACAAACACCATTCCAAAGTTAAAACAAACACCCAAATAATAAACTTCGTTTTGAATAGGCTGTACTGTTTATTGAATTCTTGTGCTAATGGCCTGTTTTTCATGTGGTGATATACTAGTTGTGTTCCATTAATATTAGGCATAGGCTTGTGATTTGGGGCTTGAGATCAAAAGAGATTGAGATTTTGCTTGAAATGAACATGGAAGTAGCTATATGAAAACAATGTTAAATTGTAATCAAGACCCAACGTTTCCGCACTCCAGTCTAGTGTCTTCATCAGGGGTGATCTAAAGTTGCATGCATCTAAGTGGCAGATGACGTCATCCCTTGGGTATATAAGAAGCCACATTGCAATTTTAGATCACCCCCTGATGAACACACTAGACTGGAGTGTCGAAATGTTGGGTCTTGATTACAATTCGACTGGGCTTTGTAATAATTTATTTAAACCAGAGTAGCGAGCGAAACATGATTGATATACCTGGTTGCAGTGAACGAACAAACTTTAAATCGTAGCGTAGATTTTGCCATCCATGGCTATTTCTTTAGATTATAAACCAAACGATTTCCTTCTTACCAAAGTCTCCAACCATCTTGTTTGCTGCAGCTACCATTAGTATCTGTTTCCCGGTTTGAAGGTGTTGGTGCAGAGTGCCTCTTCACGCTGTACGGTCAGCCACAGGGCTCTCCTAGGGTTGCGTGTCAATGACTGGAAATGCCACTTTAGATGGTCTAAATTTCAAAATCTTCATCAAACCTCCCTTGGTGAGATACCTTTGGCACCACATAGTTGCTTCCAAATTTTGTAAACAATCAGTCTGTTAAGGCCCATTTCCATTCAGGAAAATCTTTTGCAGAAAGACAATTTTGTAAAATGCGATTGGCCAACACAAATTTTCCCTCGGGGAAAAAAATTTTGAAGTTGAAAATTTTCAACTTTTAGCAATGATATTTTTGGAAAATTTTCTGTCCACGGAAATTTTTCTTGAGTGGAAATGATGAGCTAAGACACGACTGTTTGCTTGCATCATCATTACTATATTACGTAGTATCATTAGCATCATCATTAGCATCATGCAAGTCTAATTAGTGAATCATATTTGACTTCCACTACTGGGACCATTATTGTTGATGTCATGACTTTCCAAAGCACCATTCCATAGTTTGTTGTGAATATTCCCAATTACGTTTCCAAATTTCGAATATTGGTTGTGGAAATTGCCACGCCAACTTCACAAGTTGCTTACTGAAGCACCAAAGTACTGAACAAAAACTCGTAGTTTGCAGTGTTTTACTAACATGGCCAACAAATTTGACTAATTATTTACCAACGCTTTTAAGAAATACGCTTAATTCGCTGTCTATACTACTAAAGCACTGCAAAATTACGAATTTCTGTTCAGTACAGTGCTTCAGGACTTTCGTAAAGTAGTAAGTAACCTTGCAAATCCCACGCAAATTGAAATGTTTCATAATCATCAATGGACAAAGGATTGATTCGTACAAAACTATTTTAAATCCGCACATTCTTATAGCCGCACTCCACACAAAAACAAACGCCATTCGTTGCAAAATTAGTTCAATTGATAGGTAAGCCGAATGGCAGTAATTGGGCTAGTAATTGGCATACTTTAGATCAGTCACGATTAGATTTCTAGTAAAATTTTGAGTTGCGATTTTTTTAAACGAGTTATCGGGGCCAAGGCATTTGCCGCATCAAATTTTAATATTGTAGGCCGCAATTTTATCGGCAGACTAATCTTAATTAAGTTCTTATTGTAGTGGTTTGGAGGTTTTGAAATCGCTAAAAGTCTAGCTGTCATTTCGTGTCTGTTCTTCACTCGTTCTAATGAAATCGTTGCTTCGGTTTACTTTCCATAATGGCGGAGCGAAGGAACTTTAGGATTTTGTGCATATTTACTCATATACCTTGCATTGACAACACCTTAGTATTCATACATGAACTTGTGGTTGGAGTTTGCAAGGGTGGGTTGACTACAAAATTTTTGTAGTTCGCTATAACTACAGCTACTTCAAAAATATGTAGTCAGCTACAACTACTGCTACTTTTGAACAAAGGTAGTTCGCTACTGACTACAGCTACTGCTTAAAAAATGTAGCAAACTATTTCGCTACACTATATTTTTTAGTTTTACTATATTTGGAGCATCTACTAACTGTAATGTAATCTATATGGCCATCTATAACAAATCGACTTACGAGTAGCAACAGTAAACACAAAGCAACATTTTTGTAAGCACTACAGTGTTCAGGAGTGCAAATTGACTATTGAGTATTGATTTTAAGCAAACCGTGTCTCAATATCATGCTATTCTATCAAGTTGCTAACAAATTTTAAAAAGTAGCGAATAGCGATTCGCTGTTTGAAAAGTAGTCAATTACTTGGCTACTTTTAGGCAAAATGTAGTTCGCTATAACTACAACCACTGTTTTAAAAAAATAGTCAAAAACCACTGACCACTTGAAAATTGTAGTTCGCTACAGTAGCGAACTACAACTACTTCGCTACAACCCACCCTTGGGAGTTTGACAGTTGTAGCTCGGTTGGTTGAAGCGTTGCACCGGAATCGTAGGGCCGCAGGCTCGATTCCTGCCAGAGGCCTGTGTTGCATTTTTCGAAAACTACTCCTGCTCAGGTCCGATAAATGTACAAAAATTACACTCAGAATTTCCGTCTACAAATCCAGGAAGAAATTGTGTCTTTGTGGCAGTGCATTTTTTAAGGATTCTTCAGTGGTGGGGCAAAACTGCCAAAGGGCCCATTTTCCTGCCCCCCCCCCAGCATAGTATGCGATCGCCGAAGGTGTGAGCAGAGTACGGCAGGCACGAGTTAGCTGGGGGGGGGGTTGAAGCTGGGGGCATGCCTTCCCCAAGAAAATTTTTAAAATTTGGGTCTCTGAAATAGCATTTCCTGCACTCTGAGGAAACAAAGTTTTAATGGTGAAATTTGTAATAAATTGCATGCTAAACATTCAAACATAACATATAAAGTTTAAGTATGCTCACCAACAAATTTTGTTTTTTAATTAAACTTCTTTTCAATGTTAAACTCATTTACTCAATACAGGTCCTAGGGCCC